GCTACACAGAGAAACCCTGACAATCAATCAATCAATCAATCAATCAATCAATAAACAAACAAACAAACAAACAAACAAACAAATAAATAAATATAAAAAGACTGAAAATACCTAATTATAAACTTAAGCAAAGATGTTAAAGACCTCTATATGAAAACTGAGGAACTAAGCTGAAGAAAATACCAGAAGATGGAAAATCCTGCCTCACTCAGGGACCAGCAAAATTAATATTATCTAAGTGGACATGTTACTGAAAGCAACCAAGGCACAGCAAAATCCTAGTAACTTCCTCTTCACAAAAATATAGGGAAAAGCGACATTTAAATGTAATTTAATTAAATGCTAAATTTAATTTCCATTCATATGGAAATACAGAAGATCACCAATAGCCAGAGCAATCTTGAGCAGAAAGAGCAAGGCTGGATGCGTTCCGATCCATGCCTGCAGGGTACCGCAGAATCAGAATAACACAGCCAGTGTGGAACGGGCATAACAATACACAGAGGACCCTTGAGACTGTTGAGCAGATAATGTATTTGCTGCCACACCTGACAACCTGAGTCTGGTCTCTGAGACACATGTAGTGGAAGGAGAGAAGAAATCCCCAAAAGTTTTATCTGTGGCACATGCATGCTTACCTATATATAACATAAAAAATAAGTAATTTTTTTTTAAAAAGATGCAAAATCAAATGGACTATAAGACCCAGAAATGAGCCCACATAGTTACAGCCATCACACTCTTGACAAAGTTACCAAAAACACAGATTGGAGAAAATCATCCTTAATGAGTAGAGACTGGATGTCCACATGCAGAAGATACGAACTAGATCCCTACCTCTCACCTGGTACAAAAGTCCACTCCAAATGGATCAAAGACCTTAACATAAAACCTGAAGCTCAGCCAGGCCTTCAATCCCAGCACTTGGGAGGCAAAGATGGGCGGATCTCTGACTTCCAGACCAGCCTGGTCTACAGAGCAAGTTCCAGGACAGCCAGAGATACCCAGAGAAACCCTGTCTCAAGAAACAAAACAAACAAATGAAAGGACCCGAAGCTCTTAGCTGCAAGAAGGAAGCCGAGAAAAGACAGCTGAAGACACAAATATGATAGAAGCAAGAACTTTCCAGAAGCACAGGACACAATAGCAAGAGTTAACAAATGGGAAGCACACTTAGTCATAAAGGAAATCCAACCCCAAAACAGCTTGAGATCAGTCAGAGGTGAGCATTAAGAAAAGAGGAGCTGGGCTGGAGAGATGGCTCAGCGGTTAAGAGCACTGGCTGTTCTTCCAGAGGTCCTGAGTTCAATTCCCAGCAACCACATGGTGGCTCCCAACCATCTGTAATGAAGATCTGGCGCCCTCTTCTGGCATGCAGGCGGAACACTGTATACATAATAAATAAATCTTAAAAAAAAAAAAAAAGAAAGAAAGAAAAGAGGAGCAAAGGACTTGAGTCACCTCTGGCTCAGCAGTTAGGAGCACTTGTTGCTCTTCCAGAGAACCACAATTTGGTTCCCAGCACCCACAGCAGGCAGCACACAGCCACCTGTAATTCCAGCCCCAGGAGACCCAATGCCTTTTTCTGCCCTCTCCAGGCACCTGCACATGCACAGACACAGACACATTAATAAAAAAATTAAATCTTTTTAAAAATAATAAAATAAAAAACAAAGCCATCAAATATTGGCAAGGATCTGGAAGGGAAAAAGAAACCTTGGTCTCACCATTATGGAAACCAACATGGAGATTGCCCCCAAACGCTAGCTCTAGAATTGCTACAGCACTCTTCCGTGTATAAAGAATCAAGGTCAGCATATAGAAAAATGACTCACAGGGTAAAAACAATGGCCGTATAAGCAAGATCACCTCAGTTCAATCCCCATGACCGAGACCGGAAAGAGAAAACCAACTCACAACCTACACACACACACACACACACACACACACACACACACACACACACACTCTCGCATTTTTTAAATCAGCATGTAATAGACACACACTCAAACTCATATTTGTTGTGTTACTATTGTTTTGGGTATGTGTGTCACTCTTATATATGTGTGTATTTGTTAACAAATCACATATTAAAAAGAAAAAAGAGCTCAAGTCAACAATTTAATTTGCAACTCAAAGCCCAGCAAAAGAAGCCTCACGTTTTGGGCCATGATTTCTTGGACTACTACTTGAAGTGTAGACAACAGAAACAACATACAAGCAGGATGACCTCGAACATTGTAACTCGGGGTTGAGGAGGTGTAGCAGTGGTAGGGTGTGTACAGAGTTTGTGCAAGATCTCCAGTTCAAGCCGGGCGGCCGCGGCGGCGGCGGCGGCGGCGGCGGCGGGCGGCGGCGGCGGCAGCAGCGCGCACACCTTTAATCCCAGCACTCGGGAGGCAGAGCCAGGTGGATCTCTGTGAGTTCGAGGCCAGCCTGGTCTACAAAGCGAGTTCCAGAGAAGGTGCAAAGCTACACAGAGAAACCCTGTCTCAAAAAACCAAAAAAAAAAAAAGATCTTCAGTTCAATCTCCAGCATGGAGGAACACACAGATACATAATTAAAATTCATGACCCTCAAAGCACACAGCATGGTGAAAAAGCAAGTTATGGAATGGGAGAAGACGTTTGCAAATCACATCTGGGAAGAGACTAATAGAGAGAATATAATTTTAAGAGGGCTGAAGAGATGGCTCAGTGGTTAAGAGCACTTGTTATTGAAAAGTTTCTAGGTTCAGTTCCTAGTTACCCACATGGTAGCTCACAACCATCTGTAACTACAATTCCAGATGAGGATCAGGCATGTACATGGTGCACATACATGCATGAAGGCAAACCATTTACACATAAAATACTTTTTAAAACAGTATATATTTTAAATGCTTAGAATTCAACAAACACTTCCTTAAGTAGTGAGCAGATCTGAGTAACTACATGAAGAGATACCCAGCACCATTAGGAGAACCCCAAGTCAAATGGAGAATGAGTTTCCACCTCTCACCCATTAGAACAGCCACCACCAAAGCAACAAGAACTAACGGGCACTGGGGAGGGTGTAAATAAATGACCCTTGCACACTGGTGGTGGAAATATAAAATGATGGAGTCACTATGGAGACCAGTATGACAGCTTATATAGACATCCCAGGACCCAGCTCTGATGGTTCATATTGATTTTCAGCATGACGCAACCGAGGAGAATCACCTAGAAAGAAAGGCCAATGAAGGACGGTCTTTATGCAGTATGTAAAAGAATCGGATCTCAAAGTTATCCGCAGTTTGTCATTCCTTACAACATCATTTCCAATGTCTGTAGGACAACCTTGTCCATTGGTGGACAAAATGTGGAATACATGTATAGTGCAAATTATTTATCCTTGCGGGGGGGAAGGACATCCTGACACAGGTTCCCAAATAATACACCTTGAGATTATTATGCCAATAAAAGTAAGTTGACTACAAAAAGCAAATAGTGTATGAATCCGCCTATCTGAGGGACCTAGAGTAGCCAAACTCGGGGCTGAGGAGTTGGCCCCTTGGTAAAATTCTTGTCATGCAAACATGAAGCCCTGAGTTTGGCTCTCCAGCCCCTGTGTGAAAAAGCCAGGTGCCAAGCACATCTGGAATCCTTGGGCTGGAGACAGAAGCAGGAAGATCCCTGGAGCTAGCCAGTGTTGCTCAACAGCGGGGGCTAGCCGGCCAGTCTATCTCAATCAATCAGCAAGCTCCAGGCCCAGCACGAGACCCTGTCTCACAGAATAAGGTAGAGGGGCTGCCAAGACGGCTCAGTGGGCAAGAGCAAATACTGCTCTTCCAGAGGACTCAAGCTTGGTTCTAGCACCAAGGGCCCACAACTGCCTGGAATTCTAGATCCAGAGCATCTAATACCCCAGGCCTCCACAGCTACCTGCCCTCTTGGGACCATAACCCCTCCCCTCCTCTCTCCCTCCCCTCCTCTCTCCCTCCCCTCCTCTCTCCCCTCCCTCTCTCCCTCCCTCCCTCTCTCCCTCCTTCTCTCTCTCTCTCTCTCTCTCTCTCTCTCTCTCTCTCTCTCTCTCTTTCTCTCTCTCTCTCTCACACACACACACACACACACACACACACACATTATAAAATCTTGGGCTGGAGAGATGGCTCAGGGGTTAAGAGCACTGGCTGCTCTTCCAGAGGTCCTGAGTTCAATTCCCAGGAACCACATGGTGGCTCACAACCATCTACAATGAGATCCAGTTCCCTCTTCCAGCGTGCAGGCAGAACACTGTATACATAATAAATAAATAAATCTTAAAAAAATAAAAGATAAAATCTTTTCAAAAGAAAATGTGGATTACAATGGAGAAAGAGGAAGACACTGGACATCAACCTCTGGCCTTCACCCCACCCTCACTACACACACACACACACACACACACACACACACACACACACACACACACATGCACGCACACACAGTAGAATTGTGGCTGCCAGGGGCCAGGAAAGGGGAAAATAGGAGGTCGCGGTGTTCACTAGTGTCAAGAGCTAAGCATATGATGAAGCCTTAAGGCAAAGGGAAAAGGAGTATGTCCACAGATAAGATCTTTAAATACGCATGTAATCAACATTAAGAGAGGTCATATGTGTAGGACCCTTCAAAGCAGAGACGAGATGCAATCGTGCACAGAGCACAAGTTATGTGAAGACTGAGTCCTCAGAAATCCCCAAACCCCGAAGAGCCTCTGCCCCACCCAGAGCTACAAGTACCTGGCAAACGGACTCCTGACCTCTACAGCTGTGGAAATACACCTTTTCTGTGGCTCGAGACATGCCGTCTGTGGCATTGTTATGGTTGCTCGAGTGACTTGAACGAGTGTCGAGTCACAGGTTGCAAGATGAACGTTACTGGTGTGTACTGGCCCGTGGCTAGTAATAATATAGTTAGCACCACTGTACCATACAGAGTGAGTGACTGGTAACCAGTAAGTATTAGTGACTTTTACCAAAACATCTACTCGAAGCAACTCGAGAAGAATGGTTTATTTGGGTTCTTATCGGGGTGTTTCAGTCCACTGTTACAGAAAGGCATGGGGAAATGAGTTGGTCTGGGCAGAGGCACCATGTGGTGAATGCTGGTCGTGTGGTGAGTATAACTTCCAAAGACCCACCCCTGGCCTACTTCTGCTGGTCAGAACCCACCTCCTAAAAGCTCCACAGACTCAAATAACACCACCAGCTGAGAGGCAAGCATCTAAAATGAGCTCGTAGAGGACACTTCAGATTCAAAACATAGCCAATAACAAATGAAACAGATTTTTAACAGTTTTTTTCTTCTTTTTGGTTTTTCAAGACAGGGTTTCTCTGTGCAGTTTTGGTGCCTGCTCTATAGACCAGGCTGGCCTCGAACTCACAGAGATCCACCTGCCTCTGCCTCCCGAGTGCTGGGATTAAAGGGGTGTGTCACCGCCGCCCAACAAACTTTTTTTTAAAATCATAATTAAAATCAAAACCAAGCCAGATATGGAGGCATATACCTGTAGTGCCAGCTATTCAGGAAGAGGCGGCATGGGAGCTCAAAACCAGCCTGAATAAAAGTGAGACCAGATCTCAAAAATAAATTAAAAATAAAAATCGCTGCTCCTTTCTGTGTCCAAGTGGTTTATGCTGTTCACTGAATTGAACTAGTTCCATGATTCGGTTATATTTATTCTTCACTATATCCCCTGATTTCAAACCCAAGGCCAGATGTCCTGGATTAGGATCTTGACAGTCTCCTGAATTTGTGTCACTGATAAAACTTCTCCCTCTGTGAAAAAGAACCTGAAAATCTTCTGAGACGCTCTCCAAGCCATGCACAGTCATCCACAGGTGGGCCTGGATGTGAAAAGATGAAGCCATGTTCAGTGGAAATTAATAGAAATGGCTTGAGGCTTAACCCTACTGCTGTGGAATTTTGTCTGCTTGATGAGGTAGACTGGCAGGCTGCTGAAGCTGCATCTGCCATGGATGTAGCTCAGATTTCCCAGGAGACCAGTATTCTTTGTCAGGTATCCATTCAGCAAGCATCAGTTGGAACCATTCATCCCAGTGCTGCAGAAAGGCAAAGTCTTTCTGGTCCAGTTGATTGACAGCTGGAGCCTGCGTAGAATCGTCTAAAGGTGGGACAGTCCGACCACTGTTCTCACTGGGATCTTGACATCTTTCTTGGATTGGGAGCCATAAAGGAGCCTGAGGATGGAAGCCCTCCAGTCCTCGAGTTATTACCGGTGATAAGTGGCCATTAAACACTGAGGAACTTGGACTATCACCCCTTCCCTGTACAACCTGGGATGGCTGTGGTACTGTGGTCCTTGATAACTGCTTCTGACCGCCCCTAGAGAGGTCCAAAGGACTAGATTGTGTGTCGGGTGGAGAAAAGGCTGGTGTAACTGACAAGCTGCTGGTGAGCGTTGCAGAAGGAGGTTGATCAGTAGTCTTCAGGGCAGGGCACTGGCTGTTCTGAGGCAGCTGAGCAGTTGCCTGAGTACCCTGTTCGGTGTCTGGGTGCCGAGCTCTCCGATTCTGAAACCATATCTAAAACACACACAAAAAAGTCCTGAATAGCAGAAGTCATTCCACCTGATTCTTATGATTTGCTAAGCAGAATAACAAGGGCACAATGACTGAACCCTTCAAATGCAGGTTCCTGGTACTTCACTTCCTCCAACTAGACCCCACATTCCACATCTCTACCACCACCCAACAGCCCATTCATATTTTGAACAGATTCTTTGCAGCGACTAGCTCAGAGGTCTTCGGATCTAATGCGCTCTGGGAACGCCTCAGCTCCCCGACACACCTGGAGATGACTTCACTAATCTTCAGTGTTTCTCAACCTAATTAAGTTGACAGTCAAGATTAGGTAAGTCACGGCACATGGCCATGGGTAAAATAACATCGTGGTTGAAAAGGTAGAAGATTTAGGATCCACCCCTCTGATTCCCCACACTGATTCAGGAAAGAAGTTCTCAAAAGCAGGGTGAATGTCTGCCTGCCCACCAAGGAGCATCTAAGAACATGGAACTCCCAGAAGGCATGGAAACACAATGGCTGATGGGATTATCTAAGGACATGCTTCAGAAGCACGCTGTCAATCTCCACAATATACAAAGAACAGGGATTCTCAAACTATGCAGGCAGTGTTCTAAATTTCTCCGGTTACAGTCAGAGGTGAGCTGAGGGCTAGGTATGCAGGCATCCTGTGCCTAGAGGGTCTGGGTGCTAACTAACATCCTAACACACAGGACAACGCCCTCGTCCTCTGGTACTGCATTTCCAATATTTTTGAGGGCTAGAAATACTAACAAAGACTGTGTTCTCAAAACAGGTGTGAATTCCAGTTTTCCCAATTTTCCCTTCTTTCCTTCTTCCTTTCTTCCTCCTCCTCCCTCCCTCCCTTCTTTCCTTTCCTGTTTTTTTTTTTTTTTTTTGAGACAGGTTTTCTCTGTGAAATAGTCTTGGCTGTCCTTCAGCTCACAGAAATCTACCTGCTTCTGCCTCCTCCCAAGTGCTGGGATTAAAGGTGTGTGCCACCACCACCCTGCTAGCTGTTATTACTTCCTATGCTTCCACAGGTCTGTTGAGACTCTCCAGAGTGTCACTTTCAACACCAAGTGTCTACATCCCATCTCTAGAGCAGAGGGGACACCCCCCAAATAACCCGTGTTTGTCCAGCAACAGCTCAGAAGGAAAGCAGCTGGCAGTAAGGACAAGTGGACTATCAGAGACAGAGGACCTGTGCGACGTACATGAATTCTGGATTCGGGGATGCCTGTTTCTTCAGCCAGCTTTTCCCTGGTAACAATCCCGGGGAATCGATTAATCTTGAAAGCTGCAATTAGAGTATCAATCTGCACCTTTGTAAAATGTGTCCGGCTCCTCCCAGGTTCTTTAACTAATCAAAACATAGACACACATCAGGGTTTGCAAGTCAGTTTTCACATTCAAACTTGAAAAAAAAAAAACTCAACATTTTGAATATTGTTCTGACCACTTTTACTCTTAGAATATGCTCCACCCCATACCACCAAGGACCTCCTTAACCTATCTTGTCCCTGAGATGAAACCCCAAAGGTGACAAGATACAGCATCACTAAACAGCATTGGAAATAAGGGAAGAGAAGCTTTTCTTGTTGTAGCCCAGGCTAGACTCAAACTCTCTAAATAACCAGAGATGACCTTGATCTTTTTTTTTTTTTTTTTTTTTTTTTTTTTTGGTTTTTCCAAGACAGGGTTTCTCTGTGTAGTTTTGGTGCCTGTCCTGGATCTCGCTTTGTAGACCAGGCTGGCCTTGAACTCACAGAGATCCGCCTGCCTCCCAGTGCTGGGATTAAAGGCGTGCCCCACCACCTGACTGACCTTGATCTTTCTTTTTTATTTTTGTTTTTTTTTTTTTTTTTTTTTTTTTTTTTTTTTGGTTTTTTCGAGACAGGGTTTCTCTGTGTAGCTTTGCGCCTTTCCTGGAACTCACTTGGTAGTCCAGGCTGGCCTCGAACTCACAGAGATCCGCCTGCCTCTGCCTCCCGAGTGCTGGGATTAAAGGCGTGCGCCACCACCACCCGGCTATTTTTGTTTTTTTTAAGACAGGGTTTCTCTGTGTAGCTTCATGCCTTTCCTGGAACTCGCTTTGGAGACCAGGCTAGCCTCGAACTCACAGAGATCGGCCTGCCTCTGCCTCCCAAGTGCTGGGATTAAAGGCGTGCACCACCACCACCGCCGCCGCCGCCCGCCCGCCGACCTTGATCTTTCTTGATCCTCTAACTTTCCCCTCCCACGGCTGGGTCACAGCTACCACACCCAGTGAGACAAAGTCTCTATCTCTGACCCTAGCATGCCCAGAATATGCTGTAGTCGGTCCCTGGCCTAAGCTTTCTTTACAGAATATTTCTCCATAACACACAGTTGTTTATACTCCCAAAGAAATCAATGGAGGGGTTCTATTTGAACTTGTGGGTCTTACCTTTAGGTTTATTCCGTCCCTGGGCTTGGCTGTCTTCAGAAGAAGAATCAAACTCCACTTGTTTCTGTATTTTTCTGTGCTTCTGAAACCAAGTCTATGTGGAGAAAGAAAATGAGAGGAAACAGGATGCAGCTGTGATCTGCAGTCCAGCTCACTCCAAACTGATTGGGCATCTGCCCTTGAGACCATGTCCATAAGAGAAGGTATAGTTCAGTTATTGGTATTGTTAAGTTTATCTGAGATACAGGAAATTCCACACCCAGCCTCGCTCTTGCTCCCCACCCCTCTGCCACGAGCACGCGCATACATACATCTCATACTTGTTAAGTAGGTGAAGTATTCAATGCTAATTTCTAATTTCTGGGCCCCCTCTTCTTAGCAAATATCATCTCACAATGTGCAATACATACGGACTTAATCTTTGAAAATAATTACCAGCCAGGCATGGTGGCGCACGCCTTTAATCCCAGCACTCGGGAGGCAGAGGCAAACAGATCTCTATGAGTTTGAGGACAGCCAGGGCTGTTAGCATTTAGGCTTCTGTATTGGCCTGCCCTTAGGGTCCTAACAAGATATATAACCCCAGCTGCAGCCACTGAGAGCAGAGTTATTTCTGAGTATTTTCTTTGGACAACCTGATACTTCACTCTAACATCTTCAACCTTAATGACAACCATTTATTATTATTAACTGAGTTGCTAGGCATAGGCCTTAAAATCCTAAAACACCAATTCCAAGCTGTGTTCTCATAAGGCTCTTCATGTTTTCCAGATCTGGTATTCAAAATAAGTTTTCAAATTAAAGCCTTATGAACAGCTGGAGGCTTCCAACTAATGAGTAGAGATAAATGTCCTCAAGCCATCAACACCCTACAAGGTTCTGAACTTTTCCATCAGTCCCAGTCTCTCGGGTACTGCCACCAGGTGTGCCCACATAGAACAATTTCATTAGTTTGCCTCTCTCGGGTACCCAGTCACCAGGTGTGCCCATATAGAACAATTTCATTAGCATTATTGTGTCAACCATCTCCCATACCTGGAGAGTTTATCAGGACCTAAGAAAATTTTCCTCTTTCCAGGATTTCCAAAGATTTGAGTCATTATACCAAACGATTATGCATCAAGGACAGAAACTTGAACTCACTTCCTCCACCTCGAAAAGTTTAAAGGTTTCTCTTCCCTCGTTTAAATATCAAATCACTTGACAAAACTACACAGTGTACTACTCCAGCTCATCTTTGTCTACCCCATCAGCAATTTTATGAAAATAAACCATAGAGAATTTTACACAGTGCTTGTATGTAAATGACACTTGAGATTATAGAAGAGCAAGAGGAGAGAGGAGAGACAGGGTAAGAAAAAGAGGAAGCAGAGAAAGAGCTGTGGTGGCACGCCTTTAATCCCAGATCGGCAGAGGCAGGCAGTTTTAATAGTTCGAGGCCCTGGCTAGCTTGGGCTACAGAGCAAGACTCCTGTACAGACCCGTAAGCCCAGCATTCACACTCCGGAGGCAGAGGCAGGCAGATGTGAGTTTGAAGCCAACCAGGACAGTGAGTTCCAGGACAGCCAGGGCTACACAGAGAAACCCTGTCGGGGGGGGGGGGGGGGGGGGGGGGGGGGAATAAAAGGATAGAAGATGACAGGGGGAAGGGACAGTGAAGATGCCCAGAGGGACTGCGAGGGAATAAGAGAAGTTATTCAGAGAGGATGATTCAGATAAAAAAAAATTAACTAATTTAGAACTATTAATAAATAAGTGAGAAAAGAATAAGGGATAAAAAAAAGCAGTAGCCTACAAACCAGCTATTTTCATGAGGTCTCAACTTCCCTATGTGTTCACAGATGGTAATGTCATTCCTTAAAGGTTCTATATTACTAAGCTGATGACATAATTTCTCTTTTTTTTTTTTTCTCCCGGAGCTGAGGACTGAACCCAGGGCCTTGCGCTTGCTAGGCAAACGCTCTACCACTGAGCTAAATCCCCAACCCCATAATTTTTTATATTCTGTAATTCTCTAGATACTGGTTTCATTATCCCCTATGTGGGAAACCGTGAGCTGGTTATCCTTTCCCAACAGCGCAGGCTCACGACCAATATTTCCTCCAATAAAACATATGCAGCGTTTCTGTTTTATCTTCCCATTACATATGGAATAAACTTAGCAAAATATAGCCCGTCTATGAGAATCGCCCAAATTTTAGCCTAGCTTTGCTCTTTTTTATGTTTTAAAAATAGTCCGAAGGAGTCAAACCATACAACAGCACCCACATGGAGATTTATTGAGGGGAGGAAAGAGAAGGAGTAAAGTGGGCAGAGACCACTCCCTGGGGACGAAAGTGAAGAAAGAGAAGGAGACGGATGTGTACAAGGCCCATCTTTTACAAGGAAACAGTGAATGTGCACAGAGGTGCTCTTAGTGGCTGCTGCTGAGGTCTATCCTGTCAGGACCCTAAGGGCAGGCCAGTACAGATGCCTAAATGCTGACACTCTTTACCTTTACTCCGAGAGACAGGCTCTCAACCTAACACCTACCATAATTTGAGACTCTGAGATGCCCACTTCCTTAGCCAAAAGTCCCCTGGTAGCTAAATCCGGATTGGGATTCTTTTGAAACCATGCACGAAGAGTGTCCTTTTGCTTCTGGTTCAGAACAATTCTCCTCCTCCGGACTTCTTTTCCCAGTAGGCCTAGCAAAGAACCATAGACAAAGACGTGAGACAGACATCTTTCCTAGCATGAACTCCTGCTTTGTGTGCTTCATGCTGAAAGCCCAGACACACAGGGATGACTATGTGCTTTTACTTTAGGGATATATCTGAAGCCAAGCCAATAAGGACATGCACAGGTGTAAACATAGATTTTAGAAAAAATGATAATCATGTTAGACTAAAAGCAAGAAATGGCAGAAATTCCACAACAGTGCATGAAAACACAGCCATGAGAACTAGAACATGCAAATTAACGAAACAAGTACATATTTTTTAAAAAAAAAATGAAAGGTTAAATTAGATTATTATACAAAAGTTGAACTTTGGGATAAATGACATGTTTTAATAAAGTGAAACATTGGGTACTTAATTTTCTCTTCATCCAAAGTGTCAACTTTAAAAGTCTTAAGTAGAAGCCTCCTTTGTAAGAGCCCTAGCCATCACTGCAAATTGGAAGTTCCAAGAATTTCAAAATGCTCATCCATCTACCCACCCAAATTGTCACCAAAACCCAGCTCTCTCCCTCTCCCTCATACAACGTAAAAAATCAGAATTATGATATAAAAGTCCTGAGGTCTGGGGAAACAAAGGAGGCCTTTGGCACTGCCACAGGAATGAACAGAGATAGAACATACCAAAAGGGCAGCTTAGATCCATACTGGAGTCACCAGGATCCCACGAGGCAAGTGACCCAACTGCGCTGCTCACAAAGACACAGGGTTTGTCATAGCCCACAGTGGCCCACCCATCCTTAAATACCTGTTGCTTTAATCCCTCATTAAATATGCAACAGCACTGTGGTAAATCTTGATTGTCAACTTGATTGGATTAAGAGGTTGCCAGGAGATTAGTGGACCCGCCTCTGGGTGTGTCTGGGGTGTTCCCAGACGAGATTAGATCACCCGCTGAGCTAATCACAGGTTTAACCCTTGGAAGGACTGACATTCGGAAGACTCTTAACAGGTGATGAACTGTGAAGGCTGGGACTCCTTTGGAGGGCGGCTAAGACTGTGTGACTTCAAAGGAAAGGCCGTGGCCCTGCTGCTGCGTTCCGGTCACCCTCCCTCTCTGCTACCTTATCTCCAAGATAAACAGCCTGAGACTCACTGTCTGATATGCTGCCTGATCAGATCCACAGCAGTGGACCCCAGTGACCACAGATAGACCTCTGAACCAGTGAGCAAGAAATGAGTTCTTCTTCCTCCTTCAACCTGTCTCTCTGGACCACTTGTTAGAGCAACGTAACGTTGACTAACAGAGCCACACGAGGAATTTTTCTTTTCTTTTTTTTTTTTTTGAGCTGAGGATCGAACCCAGGGCCTTGTGCTTGCTAGGCAAGTGCTCTACCACTGAGCTAAATCCCCAACCCCCACATGAGGAATTTGAAGTAATTACTTACACAAAGAAGTTGAATTTGGAGCAAAAGTACAGACTCTTCTGGGTAATTTTGCATCTATCCTAACACTTTTCCACATATGGTTTTATTTCTGAGCTCTCTGGACTGTACCTGTACATTATTTCATCTCCATCATTTGCTGTGCTCAGGATGGAACCCAGTCTCAAACAGGCTAGGTAAACGCCCTGAGCTACAGCCTCAGCCCCTACAATTCATTTCAGGTTGTTTTATTTCCTAATTACCTTGACGTGACCATATTCTTTAATATATTAGGAGTCTCCCCTTGTTTCATATTTTTTCAAATTTTTCTCATCTTCTGCTGAAACACATTTAACTTCTTTATTCTGTCCTGGCCGATCTGTCTGTACATTCAATTGGCCAGCCTAAGCTCTCTAGTATACCGACTCAACCTTAGTGCGGGTGTGCTGCGGATGTATTTGGCACATGTGGTTAAAGAGTAAAACTAGATGACTTCACGTAAGGCAGACTATCCAGTATGGGTGGGGCTGACTTGGTAAGGAGGAAGAGAAAACGGTAAAGCTGGCACTCATCTGCAGGATATCAACAATAGAGAGCTAGCTGGCGGTGCAGCCCGGGCATGAGAGGTCCAGCCTGCTTCCCTCTTCTTCCCTGGCTGGCCCTGCTACTACACAGGGGGATGCATGTGCATTATACACACAAGCCTTATGAGCATGCATACAGACACACTCGCAAAATACTTTCATTTCCTTCTTTTATCCCATCATCATCTAATACAAGATACACTAATAACGATTAACTTCAGAGGCCAGTGAGGGTAGGGAGGGGTGCTTGTTGCCAAGCCCTGAGGATCTGAGTTCAATTCCTAGACCCCACAGGGTAGGAGGAGAGAGCCAACTCCCACAAGATGTCCCCTGACTTCCACCTATACCATGGCATGAATGTGCCTGCCTGATACACACATAAATAAATGAATGAGTAAATGAATAAATAACAACTTTATACACCCACATTCAATGTATGGAAAGAAGAGACTAAACCTCACCCAAGAACCTTGTCCTTCTGAGTAAATGTGTTCAGGGCGAGTTATAGAAAGTTAGAAATAAGTATGACCTTGCTGCTGTCTTTATTTGCATCTAAGAATAGCTTAGACGAGGCATAGGCATGCCAAGTTGGTATAGCTGTCGTGTCTCTGTGGAAAGTAACAGTGGAATTAAAACTGCTCATGAGAACTCATTTCAGCTGTCCCTGCCACTAAAGAAAAAGACAGTTCATGCTTTAGAAAGGCTGATCGGCTCAGGGCATCTGAGAAACAAACTGTCTTAGTTCCTTTTCCAGCTGTGATAAAATACCCCGATGAAAAAAAAAGCAGTGTAAGAAAGGAAGGGTACATTCAGGCTCACAGTTCCAGGGCACAGTCAGTCCACCATGCAGGGCAGTCAAGGCAGCACGAGCCTGAAGCAGCCGGTCACATTGTTTCCGAAGTCAGGAAGAAGATGGCCAAGGTTGTTGCTGTTCAGCTAGCTTTCTGCTTTTCAGTGCAGTCCAGGACCCAAGCCCAAGTCCCAGGAATGCAGTGGCCCGTTTTGAAAGTGGGTCTTCCCACCCCAATTAACCTAATCAAGATAACTCACAGGTGTGCCAGGAGGCTTACCTCTAAGTGAGCCCAGACCCTGTAGAGGCGATGATCATTTTAACCATCACACACATCTCCACCGATCCTATAAAGTCTAGGTATTCCACCATCAAGCTTTCTAGTTTGTTTTACATTATAGTCAGACGTTAATTTTTCAAAACTGTTTACTGAACATTTAATATTGCCAATTTTCTATTGACTGCAGCCAAAAGTCACATTTCAATATGCACATATTGTTAAAAATGTGTTTTGTTGACAAGATATATTCTTGTGGCTTGGCATAAAATACATTGTTGTTTTCACTTAAAAAAGTATTTAAGATAACAAAGAAAAAAACAAACAAATTGGGAGCCCCTGTAGCTAAATGAAATCAGTTGCATTAATTAACCTTTATGGAGTGGGCTACAGATATCTCTGTATGATACCAGTGTTAGGTCCAAAAAAGCACGTGGCTAAACTAATGAAAAAATATGTGTGTGGGGAAAAAAAAAGACTATCTAGACCCACAGGATCCTGCCCATATGGTAAAGTAAGGGAAAACCCAGTAGCCCCTGATGCCCTATGCATTTGCAAATGAAGAAGAGATGGAGAATCTAGCCTAGGTGCTCTAGTCAGGCAGCAGAAATTACCTAATTAGGGGAATCGCATCTCAAACTGAAGGATGTGGAAAACATCTCTCCAGCAGCAACTTGGCTTCCCACTGATACTACCTCGTCACCTTCGTAGTCTCCTCCTCTCCCCTCTCCACAAACCCCCTTCCCCACTGTATCAGAAGAGAAAAATGCTTTGCTTTCTGGGGTAAGATGGCGGACTGGACGCTTCCTCCATGCAACTCCGGGATAGAAGAGTCAGGGTAACAAAGGACAGACCGTATTCCCGGGACAGAAAGAAAGGAAGCGCATCAGAAAGAAGCAACAGGACAGATGAAAAGGGATGAGAAAACAGAAAGGCTCTGGCAAGGACAGACGGAAGCAATCTGCCGTCCCAATCCCCGCAGGGGGAAAGAAGAGCAGGAGCCCCAGCCACGCGTAAGCCTGTCAGCTCTGGTGACAAAAGACTGGCAGTCCCAGCTGCAGGATAAACCCACAGTTCTCACAAGCTTTAATCCAGTTGGGGGAGGGGAGACAATGCCTCCTCCGGTGGGGCCCCGCTAGCTGCGGAGAAGCAATCCTGCATCCAGTCCCTGCATCCAAACCCCTAACCCAACCCGGTGTTTCAGGAGTGCAGTGCTCTACCAGATGCCTAGTGGAGAAAGGACCTATTGTTTGAGACTAGGCTACTCTGGGACTCCGAAAACAAGGAACAATCACAAGTCAGCGAGCACAGGGCCACTCCACCACAGAGTTAGAGAGGCTGACCGTTACCAGGCGCAGAGGCAAAGACCGAGGGTCGGACATGGGCGGGCTGGGAAGTTTTAGGGGCGGGAGCTCGGCGGGGGCGCCCCTCCCTGAGAGCTGAGAGCAGGCCCCATAGCCCGTGGATCCCAGCAAAGACACAGAGAGATCCAAGTCCTGGCTGGCGGATTTCTCGGCCTCTGGAGTTGCCTCTGGTCGGCCGCCTAATGAAACAAAGCGCCAAGAGCCCAAGAGCTGGCAGATGGCTCCATTTCCAACATAGAGGTTTGCTGCTGAGCTGGGGCTGCGTGCTCGGAACCAGGCAGGCAGCTTGCCACCCCCCCCCCGCACCCCCCGTGAAGAAATCAGCACTCCTTGATTCCCCACTCTGATACACTCCGGGGACACCCCTAGGCTTGGACATTTGCCACTGATGGATGGGCAAATCTAAGGGGTGGGCGTCTAGGGGTTGGAAAGCTGCCTGGCCCACAGGCTGCAAAGCTTACTGTGGCCAGCAGCAGCTGCCAGGGAAGGGAAGCTAGTTGACCTCGCAGCCCACCCTTGACCAAGGCAGACCCCCTCCGCATAAGCAGGAAGCTTTCCACAGGTTTCAGCACTGACTCAGCACCCTCCCACCATCTGGCAGATTCTAAAAGTACTAAAAGAACCCAGAAGGAAGTTTCTGGGTTTGCCCCCTCACTTTTTTTCTTTGTACTATTTTATGTTTCTACTTTATTTTATTGATATTTTGATTTTTTCTTTCTCTTTTATCTCTAACTGTACCCGTACTTTAAAATTTTAATTCATATTCATATCTCTGTCATTTTCCTAGTATTCCTTTCTCATCTTTTTTGTTTATTTGTTTGTTTTTGTTTTTTCCAGACAGGGTTTCTCTGTGTAACCTTGGCTGTCCTGGAACTCATTCTGTAGCCCAGGCTGGCCTCCAACTCACAGAGATCTGCCTGCCTCTGCCTCCCGAGTGCTGGGATTAAAGGCGTGCACCACCACCACCACCACCACCACCACCACCACCACCACCACCGCCCGGCGCACAGTAATCTTCTTAAATAACCTTCCTTAATGTACTGTCCTGTGCAGATCACTGTAGGATGATGCCCAACATCAACCTTGGGCTTCCAAATGCATGAAGACACACACGCATGTATACCCACTCACATGTTTGCCCACACAATTTTGCATCATACCACACATACATACATATACCAGGGGAAGAGGGGAGAGATCTGGTGCCCTGACCTGAAACAGCAGAAAAGGTATTCTGAGAGTAAGACCGACACGAAAACGCAAATTAACTTGGAGAGATAGCACCTAATCTGGGAATGTTGAAAGGGTCCCTGTTTTTAAAAAAAAGTACATCCCTACATAGATGCTTCATACAAATTCCAATGCAACTGTGGTCCAATGAAGAACCTGGCAGCTTGTTAACATGGTTTTCGTTTTGGAGGCATGAAAGATACACGGCTGAAGGGGTTAAGCGTGGCGTCTCACAGCATGATTCCAGAGAACTGCTAATGCCAGGCAAAACAGGGCAGAGTCAGAGTCCTGCCAAAGAGATCCTGAGAGTCCATTGCATGAAGCTGTGAAAATGAAGCTCTTGTGTGCTGGAGATGCCAATAAGAGGCATGGAGCCAGCCTAACTGTGCTGAAGGCAGCGGAGGAGGAGCCATGGCTCAATCCCAGCCCTTTGAAGGGCAGGAAATTCCATCACGGCCCCAGGTGTCCCACATGGAGCTATAGAATTCGATGTTTTCCTGCTGGGTTTTAGTCCAGCTTTGGTCCAGTCATTTCTTACTATGACCCCATTTTCCCCCTTTGGATGAAAATGTCTGTTTTGCATCACTGTGTGTTGGAAGTATGTAACTCATTTTTATTTTATGGGAGCTCAGATAAGAGATTGTCCTGGGGCTGGAGAGATAGCCCGAGGTTAAGAGCACTGGCTGTGCACCCAACTCGGCCCCAGTTGCCGGCCAGCAGGCAGGGCTCCTTCGGGAAGGCCCCCCTTCACCAAGACACCCCCAGCGGACCCTGCAATCTACATGCCCTGCCCCCATACCCATCTGCCCAAGACCCCAGCCACTTCCTGAGGCTTGGAAACCAACCCCTAGCTCTTTTCGGACCTAAAGAGAGAGCTCTCATTGGACAAGGAGCTGTCATTGGACCAAGAGTAACCTCAGGAGACAGGGAATCTGCCAGCCCTCATTAGACCAAGAGTGGGTTTCTGAGAAGTAGAATCTGCCACCTCTCATGGGACCAAGAGAGGCTTCTGGAAACACAGAATCTGTCAGCTCTGACTGGACCAAGAGCACTGATAAGATCAAGAGCAGATCCATGAGTCACAGAATCAATTAGCTTGGGTTGACCCAAGAGAAGCTCCCTGAGACACAGAATCTACCTGCTCTAGTTAGACCAAGAGCTAAGATAGGACCCAGATGGACCCCCTGAGACACAGACACAAGTGGACCAACAGCAACTTGCTCAGACACAGGCACCTCTTATACCTATTAGAGGAGGAGATGGACAGACGTCAAGGCAGAAGTACATACAACAACATAAAGAACAATACAGCATCACCAGAATCTAGCTCTCCTCAAACAGCAAGACCTGAATATCACAAGGAAGAAGAAGCAGAAGAAAGCGACCTTAAGAATAGCATCATGAAGATGCTAGAGGCCTTTCAAGAAAAAATGAAAAATGAAATTGAGGAAAAGGGCTGGAGACATGGGTCAGAGATTAAGAGCATGGCCTGCTCTTCCAGAGGTCCTGAGTTCAAAACCCAGCAACCACGTGGTGGCTCACAACCATCTATAATGAGATCTGGTACCAACAGAATACACGAGATGGAAGAGATACTCTCTGGTGTAGAGGATACAATCATGGAAATAGATTCGTCAGTCAAAGAAAATACCAAAGCCAAAAAAAGTCATAACACGCCGGGCGGTGGTGGCGCACGCCTTTAATCCCAGCACTCGGGAGGCAGAGCCAGGCGGATCTCTGTGAGTTCAAGGCCAGCCTGGGCTACCAAGTGAGTTCCAGGAAAAGGCGCAAAGCTACACAGAGAAACCCTGTCTCGAAAAACCAAAAAAAAAAAAAAAAAAGTCATAACACAAAATGTCCAGGAAATCTGGGACACCATGAAAAGACCAAACCTAAGAATAATGGGGATAGAGGAAGGAGCAGAATACCAACTCAAAGGCACAGAAAATATATTCAACAAGATCATAGAAGAAAACTTTCCCAACTTAAAGAAGGAAATACCTATGAAGATACAAGAAGCCTACAGAACACCAAACAGACTAGATCCCCCCAAAAGTCTCCTCACCACATAATAATTAAACAACTAAACCTACAGAATAAAGAAAGAATATTAAGAGCAGCAAAGGAAAAAGGCCACGTGACTTATAAAGGCAAACCCATCAGAATAACATCTGATCTCTCTCCCTCTCTCTCTCTCTCTCTCTCTCTCTCTCTCGGTTTTTTGAGACAGGGTTTCTCTGTGTAGCTTTGCGCCTTTCCTGGATTTTGCTCCGTAGACCAGGCTGGCCTCAAACTCACAAAGATCCTCCTACCTCTGCCTCCCGAGTGCTGGGATTAAAGGCACCCAACACCCAATTTCTCAGTGAAGACTTTGTAAGCCAGAAGGACCTGGACAGATGTAATGCAGACACTAAGAGACCATGGATGCCAGCCTAGACTAACATACCTAGCAAAACTTTCAATCACCATAGACGGAGTGAACAAGATAGTCTAAGACAAAACTAGATTTAAACAATACCTATCCACAAATCCAGCCCTACAGAAAGCACTAGAAGGAAAATTCCAAGCTAAGGAAGTCAGATACACCCACGAAAACACAGACAATAGATAACCCCAAGCAGTAAACTCCAAAGAAGAGAAGTACACACACACACACTACCACCAAAAGATAACAGGAACTAACAATCACTGGTCATTAATATCCTTTAATATCAATGGACTTAATTCACCTATAAAAAGACACAGGCTAACAGAATGGATACAAAAGCAGGACCCATCTTTCTGCTGCATACAAGAAACACACCTCAAATTCAAAGATAGACACTACCTCAGAATAAATGCCTGGGAAAAGTCTTTCCAATCAAATAGTCTTAAGAAGCAAGCTGGTGTAGCCATCCTAATATCCAGTAAAATAGACTTCAAACTAAAATCAGTCAAAAGAGATCAAGAAGGGCATTACATACTCATCACAGGAAAGATCCACCAAGATGAAGTTTCAATTCTGAACATTTATGCCCTAAACACAAGGGCACCCACATATGTAAAAGAAACATTACTAAAGCTTAAATCACACATCAAACCCCACACATTAATAGTGGGAGACTTCAACACCCTACTCTCACCACTGGACAGATCTGCCAAATTGAAACTTAACAGAGAAATAAGGGACTTAATTGATGTTATGACTCAAATGGACTTAATCAATATCTACAGAACATTACATCCTAACAAAAAAGAATATACCTTCTTCTCAGCACCCCATGGAACCTTCTCTAAAACTGACCACATGCTCAGTCACAAAGCAAATCTCAACAGATACAAAAAATTGGAATAACCTCCTGTGTTCTATCAGACTACCATGGCTTAAAGTTAGATTTCAACAATAACAAAAATTACAGAAAGCCTAAAATCTCATGGAAACTGAATAATGCTCAACTGAATCACCAATGGGTCAAGGAAGAAATAAAGAAAGAAATTAAAGACTTCCTAGAGATCAATGAAAATGAATATACCACATACCCAAACTTATGGGATGCTATGAAAGCAGTGATAATAGGAAAATTCATAGCACTAAATGCCCACATAAAGAAGTTGGAATAGCCGGGCAGTGGTGGCGCACGCCTTTAATCCCAGCACTCGGGAGGCAGAGCCAGGCGGATCTCTGTGAGTTCGAGGCCAGCCTGGACTACCAAGTGAGTTCCAGGAAAGGCGCAAAGCTACACAGAGAAACCCTGTCTCGAAAAACCAAAAAAAAAAAAAAAAAAGAAAAAGAAAAAAAAAAAGAAGTTGGAATAATCTTACACTAGTGACTTAACAG